GAATAAGAACACAGAAAATGGGTACAAATAAATGGGGATAGAAGGACAGGGACGTTAGTGTGCGCTTGTGCATGCCCCTTACAGACCTCTTAGGAATGGGGTGAGGTCAACAGTAGACAGTTAAAGATTAAAGTTATGGGGGTTTGAGGATGTAACAACAGAGTCAGGTAGTGCAGTCCAGGCATTGCCAAGCATCCAAATTTTGATCATGTGACCATGGGGATGCCGCAACAGTCATAAGTGTGAAAAATGGTCATAAGTCACTTTTTTCAGTGGCATTATAACTTTGAATGGTCACTAAACAAACTGTTGTAATTTCGAGGACTATCTGTAATAATAAAACAGTGCAAATGGTAAAGAAACTTTTTTTTCTAGCTTACGGAAATTTATGAGGGGAGTCACAGAGATAAATTAGGCTCAGAAGAGGTGCCTGAATACGAAAAGGCTGAGAATTCCTGGACTTGGGAAGGAATGCCAACTCCCAAATCCCAGGTTAACATGGCCAGAGGAATCCCCTAAAGAAATAATTCCAACATGATCTCAGACAAACTGATTCTGGGAACGTGATGCCTTCTCTTTGGAATGTTTGAGCACCTATATTTTGTTGGGAGGTGTGCAAATCCCAGTTGACTTAGTTTGATGAGATTTATCATTTAGAGTATCTGCAGGAATTTAAAGAGTGCTGGGCTGCTAGGCACAATTCTGATTGCTAATGGTGTATTCTTTAAACCCTAAGTGGACTGTATCAAGGGCCTGCCAAATATAGGCCCTGGTTTGTCTCAGGAAAGTGCAGAGGCTTCCCATTTGAGCTGGATTGATAGAGTTGGGAGAAATTTCCATTTTAAATGTTTGTGTTCAGGTTGTGGAAATCTCACTTCCATAATTTAGTGTGTATTAGTACTCTGCTGTTGTTGATACGTACTTACCAATGGGGGAAATTTCCCATTTTGCTTGGTACATGACTTTTCTGCAATCTATTGGTTTATTGGCCTAATCAATGCTGTTATTAATTTGGAAACTTATTCCATTTTGGAACTGGCTCAAGTTCATTTAATTCAATACCGTCAACTACTATAATAAGTATTTTCACTTTCATTAACTTTCCATTGATAGATCCTGGTAAAATTGTCTAGTTAAAATTTTTCGGACGAGGTGGGTCCTACAGATTGGATCTATTGAAGGCTGTAACCATGTGCAGTGTCAAAATTTATGTGGGGTGATGTGATGAGGACAAGCTGAGGCCATTCAAGCTCAGCAGCTGGTCCAGCAAGGAACATTCTTGCTGATTGAAGGCTATTAATAGTTGGGAATTGAGAACAGTGGGGCACACATGTTCTACACATCAGGGGAAGAGCGTTCCTGCATGCAAAGGGAATTGTTGCACCAAAGGATCTATATGATATACCGATGACAAAGCAGTTGCTCGCTCAGCTTATGCAAAGGAAAAGTGTGCTCCAATTTAGTTGGTGCATAATGGAACATGTTTTTTTTTCTGGCTAGCAGGTGATCTGTTTTTTTTCCCTTTCTTTCTCAATTTCACATTCCGTTTGAAAACTATTAAAGAAAGATGCAAGATAACTTTTTGTTTTGTTTGTGCTCCGTTCCTGCAGTGATGCAAAATTCCAACACTCTTAATGTAGCAGATGGAATTAATCCGTGGGGTAGAAAAACAGATTGTGTTTATTTCTTTAGCTGTATGACATTGCCTCCCATATATTCCAAGACACAGATCCTCCAGTTCAGTTTAAAATTAAGATTGATTTCTTATTACTCGCGTGCATGCCTTCTTTTTATTTGTCCTTCCTAGGTTGTAATGTGAGTTTTCCAGAAAATGTTGAATTGGGAAGAAAATGTTTAAGAACTTTAAATCTGGCTTCCGCATCTTGCCTTCCTCATCATATTAACATCTCACATTTTCCCCAACCATTTCATGTTTAGAATTTTAGGTCATTAGGGAGTATGCAGGATTATAAATGAGACCTTTGGAAAATTTAGACCAGGAATGCAAAAAGTGGGGAGTGGAAGTCTTATAGACCCAGTAGCTTCCCTTTTACAGCTCCCAAGTGGACAGGCAATAATTTGGGTTTTGATTCATTTTGGTTTGCAATTTGTATGACCTAGTGATGGGATTAAGAGGAAGGATAGAGATGATCCGATCGAGCTCATTCAGATCTTACATATATCTACATTTCCTTCCAATTTACCTTGGTGAATTTTTGCTGGGACTTTAAGAAATTATCTGTACATGACATGAGTTCAGAGGAAATGTGCATAAATCTGCATACAAATGAAAACCCCTTTTAAGGTTGGTATGTATTCCAATATAGTATTATTGCTGAAAAGGCATTTTCCTGCCCATGTTTTAGAGACGGTTGGTCCATTCCAAGATGTACTTCTAACTACCGTAGATTATTTTGTATTTCCTGGTTTTTAAAGGGACATGAGTATTGAGTATCATTATGGCATAACGAAGGGATTGCAAACTTTTCCTTACAGAAGGCCACAGCAAATGTTTAAATAATTTTTTAAAAATGAAAGTATTGCTATTTCAGTCATATCATCCTGGATAATTACTGAAGTCTTGCATGATTCTCATGCAATCTCAATTTCAACAGTGAAATTTTGTGAGAATTGACAATCCCATAACCATTTCAACGTATTAAAAAAATACTTTGATTTCGGCATGCCATAGATGCCATCTAGGAATGTTGCAAGTATCTTATTGCCTACAGATAATCACATTGTCGCCTTCTTCCATAGTAAATAAAAGAGGAGAAATATTCATGGATACAATGTTATTGTTTATTCCAAAACCTTTGCAGCTCTTTCCATTTCTTAACTTAAAAGCTTGATTTAGACTGGCATTTCCATTAATTTGCAATAGTTTTGATCAAACAAAAACTACTCTGTGATTAATTGGCCAAGGGGGGAGGGGTGCCTTTTATTTATTGGAAAGTCTAACATTTTACAATATGTGGCCTGATGGGTAATCTCTGCTCACAAAATTAGATAGGCAAGAAATCCAGAATGGACCAAACGGAGGGCACAATAGGAGTTTATTCTTTCGCTTGGCGGCTGTCCCTTGAAAGAAAGCAGATTTCTCTTTGCCAGTTGGTGGGAGGAAGGAGGAGGAGGAGGAGGTCCTAGAAAGCAGATGAGAAGGGTGGCTAGAAAATTAGCTGGGTGCCTGGGGCGTGTCTGTCTGCTGATATCCTAGTGACTCCATTGCTCATGCCGTTGCAAATTGCTTATCTTGCAGTTTGTAATAGCTGCAGAATGTCTCATTAGAAAAAGGAGTTGAGTAGGAGTTGAGGCTTAGCTAAATTGCTGCAACCTCTGAACCAAGCCAGGGAGTTCAGGTTTTATTTTAAAAAAAACATGCATACAAAAACCTAGAAACTTAACAGGGTTATTATCCATAGAGAATAATTTTAAAAAGAATCAGATCTGTGATTAGTTTACATTCCCACAGCATTGTAACAACTGCTCTTAACAACAGATTTACCCCTGGGTGCCCTGTTTATGTGCTAGCTTCAATGGGCTAGTTGTCTGCATGACACAAGACATTTTGGAGAAGTTGGAGAAAAGTGTCTGAAGCAATTTTATTTTTCATTCCTGATTTTTTTTTCTTTATTTTTCTCTCCCCAACTCCTCCTCTGCAGTTATATGAACTTGATGGAGATCCGAAAAGGAAGGAATTCCTCGATGACCTCTTCAGTTTTATGCAGAAACGAGGTGAGTTTTTGGTGCATTCTATAGATGATCTTTTAGGGCTCTTGCCAAGTTCAGAGACAGAGAGAATGGGAGAGGGGCAGATTCCCACCAGTCCGTAACACAGGTCTGCAAAAAAAA